TGTGGTGATACATATATTTACGGGAATATAATTTTTCGCCCAGTGAAGTCTTAACTTGATAAGCTCTCTTGAAATAATTATTCTATATATTTGAAGATTTATTAGTTTCTCTTAAAAAATTCGTGTTCATGATATTAAAACTTTACATACCATCATTTTACAAATTAAATTTATTCCAGAATATTCATCCTTACCAGTCACATACATTGGCTTATAGATAAGCTGCGAAAATAACATTTACTTTAATTTCAAACTGAAGTTTTTCATTCTGCTAATGTCTAAAGATTCAGGAAGTCTAAAATTTGAATAAGTCTGTTGACTTTTCATTCCAAGTTATATTACTTACTCCTGATAATGCTTGTGGAGAAGTGAAGGCCGCTCACCAGGATTCTCCGACTAGCTATGATCAGGAAAATCCTTTCCAGTTGCCATTTATCTTTTTAGCGTCTTTCTCCAATTCCTTCTACACATAAAAGTTGGTTTGTTCTCTTCCAAGGTAGGTTGTTGCCAATGGTATCCAGCCAACGGACATTGAGTATACTGTGTAGACAACTGTTTACAAATAACTGTATATTTTTGAATGTTGCAGTAGTTCTCCAAGCTCCGGCTCCGTACAGTAGGACTGTATTGACGTTTTCATTGAAGAATCTGATTTTGTTATTAGTTGGCAGTTGTTTTGAGTTCCATATATTCTTAAACCATGGAAATACTGTCCTTACTTTAACAACCCTTTCCTTTACGACTGCATCCGATCCTTGTACATTGATGATGCTATCCAAGTACGTGAAACATTCCAACTCTCCCAGAGCTTCTCCATCAAGTGTGATTGGGTTGGTTGGTGTTCTCCGAGTTGTATTTAAAGGGCTTGCTACATCCCTTGTGTATGTTGAGGCCTACTGAGGCAGAGGCATCTGCCACACTGGTTGTCTTGACCTGCACTTGTCTGTTTATGAGATAGAAGGGCTAGGATATCTGCAAATTCGAAATCATTTAGTCACTTCGAAGCTCTCCATTGTATTCCGTACTTCACCTCACATTTGGAGGTCTCCATCATACAGTCAACCACCAGAAAGAAGAGGAAGGGGGTGAGTAAGCAGCCGTGTTTGACTTCGGTCCTCACTTGGAATGTGTCTTCCATGCACCACCATGCAGTGTGGTGAGTCGTATAGACTTAGTATGTTCACTATTTTCTCAGGTACACCAGTGTCGAAGAGAGTTCCATATTGCTCTTATGTCTATGCTATCAAACAGCTCATAATCAATGGAATCGGTGTAGTGAAGAGTTCCACTCAACTGAATGATCAACGACGGTCCGTAGTATGGCGATTTCGTCTATGCAAGACCGATCCTTAGGAAATCCAGTTCGTTGATCTGGAAGTTGCGTATCTACTGAGTCTTCCATTCGGTTAAGCAACACAGCTGAGAACTCTTCCTAGTATCGATAGTAGTGTGCCTCTACAGTTTTCACATTTGCTCAGATCTCCTTTCTTTGGTAAGCTTGTCTTGTCATTGTATCGCTGGTCTTTCGTTCCGTTAGCCGATTTTAGATCACCTCTTAATCTCTTCAAAAACAACTATTTGGCGACGAAGCTGATGGAAACAAAGTGTTATGTCCCAATAAGCACAACGAATGGTAACTTTTGGGATCCATTTATGGACCAATACTATGCATATACTTTTATCGTATAATTGCTAAATAACTAAACTATCCATATTCGTATTCCTCCTATCATGTGTTATTTTGACCTACGAACTATTATTCTACGATTTACCATTCTTGAATTATGCCCTGTTTATTCACCACTACCTCCCTCACTCACAGCCATATACGGCCAAATCTTGTTTCATATTTTATGGTACGATGTGGTCTGTCTGGTTGGTACATAAACCCAGTATGATTGAAATAAATAATTCATATTGCAGAGGCTGAGATCTATGTTCTGGACTTAAATGGCTGGGCTAGGCGGATAGCAGAACTCTAGACTGCTCGCACGTGTTTTACGCGTCATTGGTCCGATCGATAATTCACTGGTCTCTGATTGGCGGTATCGTTACGTTTACATTAACAGGCCACAAGGTTCCTTCAGAAGTGGAGTTACTGTTGGGATAGCAACTAAAACTTATCCATATATTAGCAGAAACGACAATTACGCCTACCACACAACCAAGCACTTCTCATTCTTCTACTACACCGTCAGTTGACAGCATTGCAAGCGGTAAGATCCCGATGCCAATTTTACATTTGACAATTGGTTCCGGCGCTATGAAGACTTATTTAGATTTGATTTTGCATCTGAAGCCACGTAATCGCTTATTCTCAGACAACTAGAGTAAACAGTGGATTATTTTTCTTACAATATTGACCGTTTCAAAAGTAACTTAATGAGAATTTCAAATCGTTTCACCGGCAATCATCACATATTTCTAATGAAGTGCATAGTAAATTTGATATATACTTATTTATGGCTGTTGAACTTATGGAAGATCAGGAATACCATTTTAAGTATCCTATCATGGGAACTAAGAAAATCACTACCGGAAGGAGGGTTCGTGTTACTACTGTAGATACTAACTTTGGAAAAATAACTGTCCAGGTTAATTTATATTTGGATAAATGACGGTTCTAGATTTCATTATAACTATAAATGTACAGTATTACCTAAACAAATATTACCACCCGATTATTCAGCCAATAATTGTTCAATCAGTAGTCAAATCTAAATTACATTACATAGATTAGTTGATAAAGGATGTAAGAGAATTGCCAAGTGCAACCAATAAATCTTATTCTACCCTTTCTGGATAGACCACGTACAGATTGTTCGAAAGATAATATTGAACTACGTTATAACACGGAGTATTTCAAATTCTGGGAGAATTTTTCAGTATACATTCCCAATCAATGCAAGCAACGCAGTCAAAAAAGCGAATCAATAAAACGTCCGTCATGACTAAGTATCAACTAAAACAACATAAATGAAGTTCAGGGAAAACATGGAAATTCGGTGAAGGTGTAAGGAAAACCAAACTACAATAAAATACAAATAGTACTATCTCGAATGGAATCGAAAGTATCAACAAAATGCATATCTGAAAGAATCAAGAGGGACATATCACAAGTGTATTCCTCGAGGGATTTTTCTAAACAACGCCTTCAAAATGGATCTTACAACTATTATCATGCTATTGGACCATTACTCACTATTGTTGAAGTTTGTTCTGATGAGAAGCACACAACTAACTTTAGCTAGCTGGAAGAAACAGACTTGCTTAGTCTATGTTAGTAAGAAGTCATTATATTTGAGCAAATGAAAGTTTTATGATTGGTTGTGTTAAATCTGAGACCAAATGAAACTAAACCTCTCAACTACTAGCTTACAATTGTTTTAATTTAAAACTTTGTCAGGCAACTACTATTAAGACTGAAGTGAATGAATTGAGTGTACTGTTCGTTGGGTTTTCGTCGTTAATAAACAAGCTCTAATCAATCACTAGTTAAAACAAGTAACCAAAACAATATAAAATACCGTTTAAATGAGCAAGTATAGTTGAAACTAAGAAATGTAGGTTTGTTTCTTTCTTGACTAAAGTAGGTCAAATTACGTTCATTTTACAGAAAAACTAAACATATTTGCCAAAAAGTATTAGATGAAAGCATTTAATGAATGTTCAGCAGCAGAATCTTTTTGTGAACAAAATGAATTCACTATTGAATACAATTAGTGTTAGTTGAAAGAGCAAAATATACTGTTCACAGTAACCTAGAGTATGGCCGCCTATAGATATTACAAAAAAACAATTATGAACCACACATCTGTTTTGAAGATCAATATATTAAGTAATCCAGAGTTTAAACTGCATAGTACCATGAACTCAAGAAGTAATCGGTACAAACAGTGTTGAAAACACTTTAAAAGGAAGGAATATTAACCGCCGTAATTTAAACCAATTCCATAAAATTATCATTCGGTCTACTTAATGTTAAATAGAAATGGATTTGCACTCACATATAGTCTTTGGTTTGATTATCGCTCCAAATATTTCATGAATATAGAAAACCCGACATTTCCACATTATTGTATCTTTCTCAGCGCCGTTTACTTGTGAAAACACTCTAATAATCAACAATATCTGTATTTTCGTGTAAGAACCAAATGTCTTCAATGATAGATCAGATGGTTGGTGGCATCGCAAAACGAATGAGAATATCTGAAGGATACTGGGAGTATTATCGATAAGACTCCTTGTAACTTTCATACATACGCAACAAATACACGGAAGTTCACTTCATAAAACCGCATTATAACAAAACATCAAGCCAAATGCTATCAGCACAGCAGGATAACGATGACTTCCTTGCATATTTAAAAGTACTTTCAATGTCAAAAGTTATCCCTAAATACCTAATATTCTGACAGAAATCTTAATATCTGTAAAAAACTGACACTCGGAAAACAACTAAGTCGGTGTCAAAACAAAAGTTAAGGCAACGATTGGTGAAGTTTTAAAGAATCCCCTCCTTTGTGAAGGTTTTAATTTGTTAACAATTAGATATATTATATACAATTTATGATAAACTAATTTTTATATAATTTTTTAACGCTTTAAGCAAAACGAATGTAGTAGCCCAACTACTTAATGCATATCATCAATATAGAATAGATAAGATATGTAAAACGATAAACACACATGAATGCTTTTATACATGAATATGACATGAATAAATAAACGACAATTTGAAGATAATGAGCATTGATACAACCAGTAACTAAGAATAAAAAAGGACAACCCCTGAAATATTATATTCTATCAGTCTGAAATAAACAGTAAATGGATGTGAAATAGGAATTATTTAGAAGCATGGTCTGTATGGATTAATATCCTGGAGACAAATGAAACATCAAGAGAATAATCGAGGTGGAGATCACATGAGAATGTTTACACACCGACTCCATGATTTAAGGTAGTCGATCCAAAAAAGTGAACAAACAACTTGATAATCACAAAGGGTTGAAACCGAGAAAAGCAGAATATACGCACCACATCACCATTGGTATCGCTATGTGGTAAAGTGGACTATGACCTCTTTGGGTAGAACGAACAATAGCTTTTTGTGTTTCATCCAATAAAAGTACAGGTATGGAGATTTTCAATACAGCGAACCACTCCGCGATATTCAGTGCAGCTATTTGGAATATATTCTGAAATACAGTGCAATCCAATTAGAAAAAACCACGAATGAAACTGATTAGATGAGGTAAATTGATTGATCAATTATAATACTGTATTCATGATTTAATTAGCTTAGTTTTAGTGATTTCTACAACTCTATTAACTTGTTACCTTCATTTCGGCCAACAATGTCGGTTTAAGTTTTACTTATACGGACTATAATAACGATTTATTATGACGCGAACGTACCGTTTAATCCATAGAAACTAAACAGCTGATAAATAACATGAAGTACCCGTTAAATGTAAATTTAAACAGAACCTCCTTCATGTGAGTTTATTTCATTTTATTACATGTAACAATGTTGCACATTCTAGATATGCAGATAGAACATAAAAAAGAGCTGTTTGTCAGTTGAATGATACAAAACAGTATATTGACCACTAATATAGATTATTGGAATAGTTTTTTTTAATGACAGCTATGCGTACAGAATTTTGTTATTCAGAATCAACGAATTAAACGCTTTTGAATTAATTCCTTAACTAGAAAATTCTTAGAGCTAACTACTGATGAACCACACCATTTGAAGTTCCATTATCTATGTGAACCATGCGAAATGAATCTATCTGAGACCTTTCAGCTACCGACGCACCGATAATTCGATTGCATTTGGCTACAAACAGTTACAGGTATTGAGGCACACAATTAACACATAATAAAATATACCTACTTTGATCTAACAGGTAATAGTTTGTAAGATAAACTTTATAAACAAAATAAAGTTTAAAAGATGTAATTTTTGTAAATCAGTAATTTGAAGGTTTACATCAACACCAAGTTAATAGTCATAAAATCAGCTGTATCTACTGTTGAAATAGGATGGTAAAGATTTCTTGATATTGTTTAATTCTTTATTCATTTTCAAAGCTGTACAATCGCAAATATATATACTTATTTTACAGGATGATAATGGGTGTATTCCGTTTACAAAAATAATGGTACAAAGGAACACCAAAATAAATATTCGTCATACCACAAAATAATATTTCGGAGATGGAAAAATGAGAAAGAGTAAAAAACAATAAATGAATAAAAAATTAAGCGAACGACAAAGAAAAAATAACAATCGGAGCAGTTCAGTCCAGAAAAATACAACCAGAAATAAATCTTTCAGTTAAAAAAGATCCTCTCACTCACATTAATAACGCAAAAGAAAATCGCAGCACAGTCGTCAATGGCTTGTATTTTCAGTCATATTGTATTGTGTGGCGCTGTTTTTTGGATTCCAACCAGGGTATCACAAAGGATCAACAGACGTCAGTCATGTACAAATTTCTTTCATACTATAGCACTATGTCAAAAACTGACTACCTCTCAGCTTTTCGCAACCAGTTCCAAAGTCGGGAAGCAATCCGCGATGTAAAACCCATTGAAACGACATTCGTAGTGCATGTCTAAGCCACTGAATATAATGCCAAAAATCGAATCGTTTCTGTCCCCCGGCGAATCTCCTCATTACTAATAAAGCGGCGCCATAGAATGTCAGCAATCCTTCGGAGAAAACGATGACCTAACATCACTTATGAGGTTAGGTCTCACAAGCATAGAACAATGTTGCTCGTACTAGAGTTATAAGTGTGGCTTTTACTATGCGTGAACTGATCTTACCGCTCACCCCTTTACTAACAGCACTTACACATCTAGCCAGATACAAAAACTTCTCGACTACCTCCAAGTGCTTTTTTGGGATCACTTAAGTGGTGGCAGAACCCATCCTTGATAGCATCTGAGCTGCAATCTGTTAGGGCTGATAAAAATCATCCAGCTCTATAAGGGTGGTTTGCATTGCAACACAAATTTTACTGCCTTAAATTTTTAAAAACTAAGACTATTTGTTGAGCTATTAAACAAATTATAAAATGCACCATATTTAAAACTTCTATCACAACTAAAGGTCCGCTACTAGTGCCTATTGGATTATTGGGAGCAATCGGTAGACCAAAGTTAGCAGGTCGATGAGTGAATGTTTAGGGATAGTCCGTTGATTTGGAACCGCTGGTTAAACAAAATACTTGACAGTCGTCTGAATAAAAACCAATACAAATAGAATCATAGGAACGTCTAATAAACAAAATTCTGAAAACCAGAGTCTAGACAAATAGATATGAGTAGTTAAAAATGTGAATGCTAAAACTGAAAGACCTACCGCTAGCACGTTTATGTACAAGATTGCAAAGTGTAGTGTCATACTAAAGCAGATCGCAGCGATAAGCCACATATTATGCCAAGGAGGCATGACCAGAAGCGACTGATTCTCAGAAAGGCTAATAAAATAAAGAAACATAATACAAAATTACCGAAGGAGACACAATGTCGACCAGAACAGCATATGATGGAAGACGCACAAACACCGGTACAATGAAGCACCAAATGTATATGCACAACACTTCGTCATTTGAAGCGTATGAGGGCTAGAACACTGTTCGGATGCCCAAACCAAAGCAGGTGGTTTTCTTAGGGGGCCACTCCCCGAGTCTTTTACCTAGAGGTCTAATCCATAAGACAATGAAGCAACATTAGATTCATACGCTATTTCTTCTCTCTGGATTCTGGACCCCATGTGGATTTGACATAAAATAAGACGTAAGATCTAATATACCACTGAACTAGCATTTATTTAAAGGAGACTTTTTCTTAAAATATTATGATAGCGATTACCATACAAGTTACTCCGTTTACTACTCTATTTATGAAAGACCTTTAAAACCTAACCAACAATTAGCATCTATACATATTCAACTCACATTTTTTAAATGGAGATAGTTAGCTTTGTACTATTATACGTAATGACAATCAACTAAATTTGTATTCTATTCTTCTTATTCCATATAAATATATGCAAATAATTCCCAACTCTTACCATTTAAAATAATGGTCTGATCTACTTATCAACACCATACAGTGGATAATTTGCTAACATCAACAACTCATTTGACGGGTTTGCGTAAAAAACCATGTTAAGCGTCTGGCGCGAGACTGATAGTTCCTGGGTTCAAGTCCCGCGAGGCGGGGTCGTGGACGCGCACCGCTGAGGAGTCCCACAATAGGACGAAACGGTTCTCCAGTGCTTCCAGGTTTTCCATAGTGGTCTAGTTTCAATTGACTCATGATCTCAACTGTTGTAAAAACTATGTATTGATCTCTTTTTTATTATAGAATGACTCGATTTGTCACTGCAAAAACTCAACGATATGGAAGATAGTTGGTCACCATATTTCTGTGCGTAGTTGAACTTGAATAAGTATCACACGTAAAAACTGCGAATGAGGCTTGCTGATACATAATGACTTAGAAAACAGCTTACTATATCTAGTGGACTTAAAACTTGTAAACGAAATGGATAATCTTTATAGCGTCAACCATAAATAACCCATAAATGAGGTAAAAATCAACAAAATGAATTACCTGTTCAATGCGTTAAACATCTCAATCAAACCAACACAGACAATGCCATTGTCATAGGTTTTGGACTGGCGAATACGCTACAATTAACTCCTTTGAACATAGATGGTTCCAACTGGCATTGCAAATGGTGTGTCTAAAAGAAACGAATTGTATTTTAATTCAAAGATAACCATAAAGAAAAGGACAACTGGTACTGAGTAGAAAGAAATCACGGTGTTGAAGGTGTCTCACGATTAGAAATGAAATTTTGAAACTAGAATGACACAGAAAGTAGGAAATATTATCGCTTAAATGAACCGTAAATACAAATTGACAGAAAACATTTTTGGTGTATCGGATGTAAACGTTACGTAATTTTGTTATTATTACATACAAGTGAGTTCAAAAAAAGATATATTAACTGAAATGTTTAGGTGAACACTTCGCTTCTGTACTACTGCTGTCAAATACGGATGAAACCAGTAGTTACTTCCTTAAAAGAGCTAAAATATAATAGTGTCAGAAATCAATGAGCAATATATGAGAGAAATAAGCTAGTAAGTAACGAAAAATATGAACCAGCAATAATGGTGATTTACTTGGAAATATATAAGTACACATCACATATTAGAGGCTGGGTATTTTTATGTAAGTTGCTATGGAAAAGAAAGTCTCATGTTGGTTCCCTTCTATTGTCAAACATATTTTTCGAAATTCCATATAACTATCTTTTGAAATCTATTATTCTTCCTGTATTTTTCACAAATTATATTGAATGCACTTTCAACCCTGTAAGCAGATTTACTGAAATCTTTTTTTATTTTATAGATTTTATTTTACTGAACATTAAAAAACACATGATAGTGGTGGACACAGAATGTAACTGTTAGCGCGATATAGATTGGATTGAAACATGTTCCGTGCAGGACTGTGTTGGGGCACGCTATTGTCTATTTCTTAACCAATCAGCGCTAGTGAACACTTAGAGAAAACTCCAGAATTTTGTGTAAAAATTATAAACATTCTAACCATTTTTTATTGTGATTCCTACTTCCATTCAACACTTTTATTTGGAGTATAACTACGTTCTTATTCAAAAATGTTTTGGTTTGGGGACCTGTCAAGCGAAGTAATGTCCAGGAATATTAAGCAATAGGAGTAGCTGGGTAGTGATAAGAGAAATTATAACAGTAACTTGACACTTAATTTCACCAACTGACAGCTATATAGCGATACTAAGTAAAACATATCAGTGGGATGACGAAAGCATTAATAAAAATGATAGGTGTCAAAAATATCCATTGTTTAAAATTAGGGATGTATAAATTGCACAAAAATAATAAAATGCATTTTCTATGGAAATGTACATACCAGCTGATAATAGTTCACTTTGGGACCGCCCTCATAGACCATGAACCACCAGGCTGCTGCTCCAACTGTTGCACACCCAACATAGATGCCTATCAACATGTATCGAAGAAATAACCAACCGGAAATCAATGGTTCTTTGCTTTTACGTGGTGGTTTAGTCATTATATCAACATCAGGAGGATTAAATCCTAAGGCTGTAGCAGGTAAACCATCAGTCACTAAGTTAACCCAGAGTAATTGTACAGGAATCAAAGCCTCAGGCATTCCAAGAGCAGCAGTCAAGAAAATGCAGACAACTAAGGCGAGAAAAATAAGCAAAGACATGGTTTATCACTAAAAGTTTGTGGTTAGTCTAAAATATAAGAAATTACAATACTTGTTTTATTGGTTGCACAAGGTCTACTAAAAACAATAATTTGTTTCAGACGGTTGCAAAACCTACGATAAACGGATTTTGAAGTCTGTAACCATTGAAGAAATTGATAAAGATTAAATGAAACTGAAGTAAGACATTTTTACTCTAATAACTTATGAACAGCGGCTCTCAACAAAAGAAAATGAAGATGAAATGGAAACTTCAAGGAATTATGATACTTCTAAACGCAATACTTTTAGGGCCGAAAGTTGATTGAGGTACATATAAAGTTTTATGAATACTAGTTTGAAGACATCTAACTATTCTTAGTTGACTTTCCTCAAGCGAAGGTACTGATAAAATTTCATTTATGAACTTTAATAAATTACTATGCAATCTAGTGGCAAACAAATGAACTTACCTTCACCGATGTTAGACGAAATAAGGTAACGGATAAACTGTTTCATGTTATCATATATAGCTCGGCCTTCTTCAACGGCCGCAACAATTGTGCTAAAATTATCATCTGCTAGTACCATGTCAGAAGCAGATTTGGCAACGGCAGTACCACTTCCCATAGCAATCCCAATTTCCGCCTTCTTTAGTGCAGGAGCGTCATTAACACCATCTCCAGTCTATTAAGGCATTAAAAGAGTAAGCGAACTTTAGCATTTAGAGACAGCAATATAGTATCGAACGAAAATTACACAATAGGTAGTCATCAATTCATTACAAACGAGGTTGAGTGGTACATTTTTATTTAATTATTGCATCATCCAGTTGTCTACACTGGAACACTGTGCATGCGTCGAAACTGAAACAAAGATTGCCAACCACGAAGGTTGTTCTGACAAGCTACCCCACGTGAGTATTCGTGATAAAAACTTGAAAAACAAAGAGATGGACATGACCAAATTGACTAGGGTTAGACGATTGGGATAAGTAATAAGTGCTATCGCTTCAATATGAGGAAATAACTCAGAAATATTTATGTGTTTATTTTGCGGTTGTGTAAGAAAAGCTGACCTACGTAAGATGGAAACACTTGATGCCATACCTGGAGGTTAGGTAGAATTACAAACAATCGACACTTGACATCAAAATATTTGAAACAGAAACAACGATGAGTAAAATCAGAGAGTCATTTCAAGAATACAAAAAATATATCGAGTATGTATGAAATTACCACGACAAAATGATGACGAAATACGTTGCATACGTAGCACATTAAAGTGAGAAAACGCAGCTTAAATGTATAACATCTTGACATAAACGTATGGATATTTTAGATTAAATTCTGAAATTCAACATACAATAAGAAATAACGGTACGCGAAGAAATCTGAAAATTAATGGCTACCACAAGATCTCGGGATGTATTCAGAAAGTTCGCCTGGCAACATATGTAGCGTAGACAAGATGTCTATTTTTCATAGTCCGCTATGAAAGAATTTATGGCTGTGAAATAAAGGCAGTTTCTTTGTCTTTTCTATCCATATTCTCGACGCAGTCATTATTATTGTTACATTATTACGACTCCCTTGTTAATGTTATCTTATCAAACTAATAGGGGATAGCGATTTGACCGAAGCATACTAGAGCTGGGCCCTTATGACTAGCCGACAACCACAATGAATTCGTTCGAACAGGTTCGAGTAATTCAGCTGTAGTCGGGTAATTACCTGAACTATAAGTCATAACTAAAATTTGTAATTTCACCGACCATATATGTTTCACCACCTAGAATGAGTTACAATATTATGCGAGACCAAAACCACTAATCAAAACGTGAGGCGTTTTTTGCTTGTCACAAAAATTATGTGATAAGATACACAGTTTACATGGAACGACATTTACTTAATAGCATTAATGATATATATATATATATATATATATATATATATATATATAGAGAGAGAGAGAGAGAGAGAGAGAGAGAATGAAAAAGTATAAAGACTTACCATCGCAGATACTTCACCATCCTGCTGTAGGAATTGTACTATTAGACTTTTATGGGCGGGTTCAACGCGAGCAAACAACTTTCCGTTGCGTACTGCATCCTTTTTCTTGTCTAAACTGAGGTCATCGAATTCTCGTCCCGTGAAGGACTTTCCACAAGTATCTTCTTTATCTTCAAACAATCCTATACGACGGCATATAGCTTCGGCAGTTGCTTTATTATCGCCTGTAATAACAATAACACGGATGCCAGCCTTTTTACAAGCTTGGATACTGCTGGCAACCTCACAACGTGGCGGGTCCACCATACCAACAACACCCACAAGAGTTAATTCAGTCTGAAAATGGAAACCATTAGAAGTAATTGGTGTAAGCTTGTGATACGATGGAGTGGTAATAAGTTGTTAGAAAATGGTCGATCAAAAAGAAAGGGCCCAAATGCGTAACACACAACAGATAATTATACCGTTCACTTGTTAACTTTTTTATATACAGGGATATACGAATACACTGTACCATACCACATAAAGTCTCAAAGCAAATGGACAACAATTCATCATCTCTGCTTATTCTTCAATTTAGTTTGAATGTAACATGTGTTATACACCTGAATGAAACCTGAAACTGTTTTTTCACGATTAACCAAACTGCATACATAGGGAACTAAAACCACATCACAAACGTTGTTCGAACTTAAATCTCTTTGCATCAAACACTATACAACTAATAATGGTAAAAAATAAAAACAGGATCACTATTTGAGGAACTAAATGCAACGAGAAAGAACAAACATAACTTACCTCATAATCCTTGAAATTTTTTGGATCTTTTAAATCAAAGTGAGAGTATGAAGGTGGTTCATCTCTTGTAGCTAAAGCCAAACAACGAAGAGTTTCACGTCCAGTGGCGTAGGTGGCTATTTTTCGAAGTACTTCGCCTTTTAGCTCAGACGTTAACAATAATTTGCCGCTTGTGGTGCGTACATGAGTGCATCTATCCAATATGGACTCCGGGCGCCCTTATCAAAATGCACGTAGTAAGACAAAAGGAAATAATTCCAAACAAATTCTTAATAGTTCAGTAAATTTATATATATATAACACTGATTACAAAAGCTATTTTGAGTGAAGGCGAGTACAGCTCGGGTTTGCTAATTGTTACTAAGCGAGATGGTTTTAATTAAAACACATATTAAGCATACATTTAAGAGCACTAAGATCAGTAACATTTACTTCGCTTCTATTGTTAAAAGCGCTAAATTTCCACCAATACCACTTTTTTATACAAGCATTTAGTAAGATATATGAAGCAGTTCCTTTTTAAACCATTTAATTTACTAGGATTGAAGAAACGTTTGACTGAAAAAGCACAAACTCAGACAAAATAAGATTACCTTAACAAAGAGCTTTTCTTTAGAGCCAGAAATTTGACTTCGAGGGATGACATACGTAGACATTGACTTCCTATCCCGAGAAAACTCAAGAGTAAATTTTCTTTCATACATTTTCTACAATACGAAGAAAAATACCGAAATAAATCACAGAAATTCAGTAAAACATAACTAAGAATGTCAACTACCTGGATATCGCGATTACAAATCATTGCAAGCTGATGATTAGTAAGATTTGATTTAGAGACTTTTGTGACATTCATTTTCTCAACCAAGCAGACCAATGCAGTCTCAGTCGCTTCACCCACTTTTTCATATGCATGCCGAGATTCACTGTATTCCACAGATGAGTCATTGCACAAAGAACATATTTGCGCAAGTTCTACAAGACAAGGATATTCAGAACAGTCTATTTTTCGTCCTTGATGGTGCCTGAAAGTACGAAAGTAAGGTTTTATTAAAGTGATTGCTTTGGAAAAATACTAGCATGAATATCAATCGTGAGAGAACAGTGATATTCTTATGATTAGACACAAAAGCGCTAACTTGCATATTAATTCACTGGTTGAGGGTAGCTACATATATTAAGGTAAAAGGTTAGGGAAACTAATTCAAGATAACATTTACATCAGCTAGATACCATATTTTCGAACACATTAACAGTACAAATAGTTCAGTCACTTTCGATTTCTCTGGTGAATTGTTTATAGCCTTACATAATGAAAACACGTCATGTTTCTACTTTATCGATTGCTAATGAGTTTTAGATCTATTCCCGAATTAACGCTGATATTTGTGGTCGACTCAACTCCGATGTATGTGCGTGTATAGTTTATGCTGAACAGAACCTCAATAATTAATTCAGAAGCCTTAGTTATTCAGGAAGACACTGTGAGAGGCTTTAGAAAGGTTGATTCGTTTTGCTTGTCATGATCAGTACATTCTATATACCAAGATTGTATAAATAGATGATCAGAAAATGGCACACCAATAAAACACGAAAACTAAGCTGAAACCTACACATTTCCTTCTGGAGCATATTTAGAACCCGTAATTTCAAACTCATCAAATTTTAGCTGCGAAGCATCACCGACCCGACTCTCGTTACCGAAAGTGAACATTCGGCAAACAGTCATTTGGTTGGTTGTAAGGGTACCGGTTTTGTCAGAACAAATCACTGTTGTACACCCAAGAGTTTCAACACTTGGTAATGATCGGACAATAGCATTTTTGCGAGCCATTCGACGGGTCCCCAAAGCTAGACACGTTGTGATAACAGCCGGTAGACCTTCTGGAATCGCCGCTACGGCAAGCGCGACTGCAATTTTAAAGTAGTAAACAGCACCTCTGAGCCAAGAACCACCATGCACTGGGTCGTTAAAATGCCCAATGTTAATGCACCATACAGCAATACATATGAGTGTTATGACCTACAATAATGAAAAAAATTGTTTAATGAAAAACATGACCGAGATTAATTTGAAAACTTAAGTAATAAGGATTAGAAAAATTACAAATCGACACTAGAAACATCTTGTAGTGGAAAAATCACGAAACGCAAAAACAAGCAGAAATTAATTATATACCTTTGATAACTGTGTTCCAAATTCATCTATTTTCTGCCCGAGAGGAGTCTTATCTTGTTCTGTATGCATGATTTGATCACGAATTTTGCCTATTTCTGTTGAAAGTCCGGTCCCGACTACTACTCCAACACATTTTCCAGAGGCTACATTTGTACCGCTAAATAGCATATTCTTTTTGTCTTGATTGACGGCTCGAGCCTGGGATATAGGGTCACTGTGCTTTGAAACTGATACTGATTCACCAGTTAAGATAGACTGATCAATGAGAAGTGTTGTAGACAAGATTTTAACGATTCTAATATCCGCTGGAACCCGATCTCCAACTAAATAGGCAAATCAATAAAATGAAACTTAGAATACCTTGATAATTATTGACCAGCAAAAATCCAATATAGCAGTGCATACAAAGAATTAAGGTACCTATGATATATTAGACAAAGAACAAAATTATTTTGCCGGTGTACTGATTTAACCCAGATGTGTCTGCAATGAGTAAAATAAGACTTCCTCAGGGGGAAATCCAACATTTAAACCCAAATCAAAAGCAATTTACAGGCTGTCAAAGACACTGGTACATATTATAAGTACACAAACCTATTTGTTCATCCCACTGTGGTACAACAGAGAACTTGGTCGAAGGGATCCTTAAAACATTATTCACACTATTTTAGTGTATTACAGAACCGTCATCAGTGTAATTAAATGCGGTTTAACATATTACAGATAAAGATTGTTCAGTTATGTGAGCAGTTTTTGAGCGGTCTTTTTACAGCTAAACACCCCATGACAACCTATCGGCAAAAAGCCATTGATTTTGTAAGATGACAATAATTAGCGGCAGTCAGATAACACAAATTTGTACGGGTTGGCGAAGTGACATGGCTATCAGATATTTTTCAGACATCGGAAAAGTGGTTTATCAAAGAAGTCATCATCGCACAATGTTTCAGCGTCGATCAACCCAGGGATTTTAATTACCTGTTTTTCGCTTTTAACATTATAACAGGTGGGTGATTTTGTTATTGATATTCACGCAATTCAATACAAGCCACTTGTGCTGTTTAATTGCACTCAGGAAAAAACTCACTGACAAAACAGGTATAACATACCAGCAACTTCCACAATGTCTCCAGGAACTAATTCACGGGCTTTCACACTCTGCACACCTTGATAACCCTGACGAATAACCTTTGCGGTATCTGACTCATATTCTTTTAAGGCTTCAATGGCTGACTCAGCGTTACGTTCCTTAATTTATAAAACTTAATTCGCGACAACTTACCTGCCAAACACCAACGATTGCATTCACGATTAATATGAGCATTATGACAACTGGCTCGACAAACGCAGTAGTCGCATCTTCGCTATCTTCAAACCAGGCCAAGACCTAAAATGAAACTGTAAAAATACATCGTGATGAATTACAAATGAGATAACAGCTGCTAGTAAGAGAATTTTGACCAAGAGGTCGTCGAACTGTTCAAGTACCAATTTCCAAAGAGGCTTGTTTTCTTCCGGTGGTAACTCTAAAAGGATGTCTATTTTTAAGAAGAACAAACCATTGTAGCCATACTCCTTCAAAGAGGATTCAATCTGCTTTTTAGTTAAACCAGTTTCAGTGTTCGTATTGTAGTGCTTTAATACATCATCAACTGTACAAGAATAAGCTTCCTCCAACATGTCAAGCTATATCCTCAGAAGTTGGCGCTGCTAGCAAACCTACGTGGGAGCGCCATGAACATGATTTTTGACGCAGTAAAACTTTATCTCAACAGCTATGATGCAAATATTTTTCAATCTCAAAATTTAAAATATACGTAACATAGTAACCCTTCTGACATCCTAAATACTAGAGAGGTCGGTCTCAAGCTGGTAAAATAAGGCTTGAATGAGAATGTAACTACTTTTACATATGTCAACTAACCACCAACTTTTATTGAAAAAGGCCATGAATAAAGTTGCGTTATTAACTTACAAATCCAGGTTATCATTGATGGAATTTAAGCATAAGTTACCTACTTCTTGTAATATTGATATTTAAAATCAGGCAATTTAATGAACTTTGAAACCCTGTTCATTCGGATTAAAAATTGTACAATAGGCAGTTGACGTAAGCGTGTAAAATAATTTTAAAATTTTTGCGTTATTGAACTTTTAAGTACCACCACATCTTCGATGTTGCTTCTGTCTAATCAAACTAATGGTCCAGTTTAACATCTCTGAGCCCTGGACAGCGGTCCACCAGACTTAACTGTTCCTCTATTAGACAACAGGTCGCTGATCATTAGATAGTCTACTGAACATTGTTAAAGTCAAGGATGGCTAGCGTGGATCAATTCCATTAATCAATTGCATGCCTTGTACAGGCGCATGAGGTGGTTTTTCTCATTCGTACCATCGTGATAAGCTAATATAAAGATATGGAGTTGCTTATAGACAGTATCTATTCTATCCAGTTAACACGTCAAACAATTCATCTGGTTGTCAGAATAACACAATCACGGTTAGGTATAAACAATGGGAAAGATATAACTTGAACTTGGGCTGGATGGTCACACAGTTCGCATTAAACTCGAGTAGACTGTGATCACCTACGTCGGTGGTAAACGATTTAAAAATACGGCAGGAATCGGGCATGTATTTTGATCTATATGGGTTTCGGGCTAATCTGCATGTCGTGCTAAGTAGCTTTATGTAAAGTAACACTAGTAACAATGACCCGCTTTCGTTCAGTTGCAGGTAACAGATTTAGAGATGTGTGAATGGTATGATTAGCATTCACACGATTAGATACAAATACGTCCTTCACAGTTTACATGGATCTAGCGTGCTACTGACCGGATGTTTCACTGTGAAAATATAGGAAAGAGGAAACATCTACAACTGTAATACAAAAACTGCATGGTTCTGTAGTGTTATCGGTTCCTGATCACACGATTTTTGAAGCTGAGAGTATAATTACTGAGATTCATATTCAACATATAACACTAAGAGCAGGTCAACAATGGTGAATGCTGAAGCAAATAATCGAAATGGCATTGCTCTTGCTTGTCAATTCAAATATATTACTCTCGTCTCAGTTCTTAAGAAATATTGGATGTCATAGTCCTCATCGCCACCACAGAACGAGTCAGTGAAAAGAGTAATGTTCTTTCCACTTGAGATCTTATAGATAAGGTAGTCACATCATAACAAGTAATTTTGGGATTAATTCGATTATTATAGTAGTACAAATAACAAACTAGGCCATAATTATTAAGTTTTCTGTGAGCCATGAGGTTTGAGAGGTCAGCTTTATTCATATTTCTTTATCAAAGACTAAGAAGTTGTTCAATTGTGATTTATGGAATGCAAAGACATAATTTCGGGCCTGAAAATCGGTTCTTTTTCAAGCTGGACCTGAACAAATAAGACGGATCAGCCAAGAACAAAAGAATACATAAAGCCGACGTCACTAGTGGATAATGCTGTTCCACTAACCTATCCTATGAGCCTACAAAGTAGGGGACCTCGGTGACAATCTTTGCATATTGTCTTTCTTTAACTTGTCATCCCCAATCTTTCTGATAAAATCTTGTTTCTTAGTTAATTAGACTGACGAATTAGCATATCGTGGGACCGGATTTTGATTGGATCAGCCAAAAAGTCAACGAATAGTCTAGCCTCTACGCAAGATTAGGTAAGTCAATGTATCATATCATTTTACTCCAACTCGAATGCGAACTTAGGATGAAACAAAATAAGCAACTCTATCACATCAATAATTGTTAGACATTCATAAGTATAAGACAGCCAGTTTTTTGGGCACTTAAAATGATAACCTAACTGGTTTCAGGGATAAAGTATGCAAATACTAATAAAGGACGAAATAAAATGAATGTAACTTATACTGACTGCCAGACCAATACAAAAAATGAGTAAGATACTGAAAAGCAGATATATCCAGCAGTTCCAATCACTTTTACGAAGAAATTGTTTTCCAATAGTGTTAATGACAACTGTCTGACAATAACAAGCACAAAGACTGTTATTGCATTCGTTGAATTATTGTCGGCTTCCTTATTAGTACTGCTCTAATAATATACCGAATCTTAAAATTGTAGATTTGTTATGAAGTGACTACCTGATCCATGAGATCTTACGTGGAAGTCACATTGTCTACAGTGACTCATCCTACACCTGGAGAACACATTTAGGCTGGAGACAGAACAATGTATTTATTATGAATAAAAGAGATAAGCTACACAAGAGTGACCACGCCTACAAGGCTGAGCCATGCCATCCGACGAACTGGACTAATGTTCCTGAGTTCTCCATAGTTAACCTTTTCTTTGTATCAATTGTCTTTTCAACAACTATATGCTCGGCTTCAAAAGTCGTATTGTTAGGGTCCGATTCCACTACAAATTCACTGGCTATTCTCACTGAATATGAGCTTCTGCTGTGTTTAGTAAAATTGTAGTGCGCGAAGACTTGATGGAGAAAACCAATTTGTCTAAAGCGTGATTACAAAGTGCTTTCGTAAAATGTAAAAATCATACATTAAACACATCATTTACGCCTCTCCCTTCAGTTTCCTTTAGATACATTATGATTCTTTCAGTTCCGTTGATATAATAATCACTCAGAACTTTCTTTCATGTCCTCTGCAAATCAATTTCCTTGCTGTTCCATACTATATATACCTGTCAAAATAAAAAACACCTCGAAACCAATGGATATGACACTACTTACAGCCGCATTTCCAAATGTGGAGATATCAAAGCTATAGACGAGATGCTAGCACTGTTGGACGAAACCGGTGGTATTGAAAGTGCATATATTTTGGTACCCCTTTGGCAAAACGTGACAGCGTCGAGCTTTCGTCTTTGAACCTATCGATTTGCCAATCGTACGCTACTTAGAGCGGAGCATATAATTAGAACAGTACAACAATGACATGCCGCATGATTGACCCGTTATCTATTCGATTATCTGGATCACCCACTTTTCAAACCGTCCAGATACCGCAACAAGTTTCTTCTCTTAGTTCGTTTTAACTTACTGTGTCTGTAAGCCTCATAACATATTCGCGCGTTCATATAAAAATCCACAACTGATTACTATGTGAATTACGGCAAAATACAACTGAAGATGTTGAAGTGGCTGGTGATATGAATTAAAAACAACGAACGCCGATTGGATGTATGTTCAGGAAATAATAACTACCAATTCGAAATGATTTGTTGGCAAAGTGATCCATACTCAATTTTCGCTAAATGTATTTTGGCTACGATTTCTATATGTATCGTAATTGTGGTGTAATCACAATCAGAGGACTCGGGTTGATTGGTTTACATAACAGTAGTTTAGTGTTAATAAACGCATCGTGTTCTCAGTATTTATCTTCGAAATCCATCAAACAATAAGATCAGGTAGTAAGGCCACACCTTTCAAATGTGAACATGAGTCGATGCAACCATAAAACGTCTAAGCTTTCAAACGACTTTGTCGACTTTGAACCATAAGATGACGCTCAAAACACAAATAAAACACTTATGTTCATGTCACCAATGCTTGAATGACTCCGTACTATAGTTCGTCATGACCATTCATTTTCGTTAATGATTCCACGTTGATGAAAAACACCCAGGCTCTGAAAAACTTATTTCATATGATAAACTGAGAATAATGCACAAATCACTTGTCACAAAACATCTTTGGTGTTGTTAATTCTTATATTCAAGTCTTCTCAGATATTTCTGATCCTACTTGGACGACATTTGTACTTGGATGTGATCTGGTGGGAATGCCTAACCCAGAGCCTTCAGCTAGGATGTGTCTAGTAATTAGGTGTGATGATCATAAGTATCTGAATTATTATACAAACTCGGAATCCCGGAAACAACAGAATTTAGACCAAGAAGGACAAGGTGAGCACAAACAAACGTATTGCGATTGTAATTTGAATTCAGACAGTCATCAAGTACAAAGAAAACATTAGTTCATACAAACACCAAATGAGGTCGGTGTCAACGTTTATTACCTACTGAACTATTTAGTTTGAGAGTTTATTCTCTGCTCCATTCCAGAAAATATCACACTTACAGACTACAATGGAACATTATAGAGCGAACTATTAGGTAGTGTGGAAAACAAATGTTATCAGTCTTGAAGCACAGAGTGAAGATATTATTGAAAATTAAGCCTTGAGATGCTCCTTCAATTTAATTAATGATCATGATAATGTTATCGTAGCAACGTATCGTGGGTAGGTTGGATAACTGAAGTGCCGACAAAATATAAGAGGATCAATATCAAAGTTTACCATCTGTCACACAACTTATTTTTGAAAGCTATTTTGCAGTGCGAATACTGCGGAATTTTACCGTCATCTATAATCCTTGGAAGCAAACTTTTATGAATTTCCTCATAGTACAAGAAGAAAGACTTCTGATTTTGTTTTACCTGAATCTAACGTAAATGCCATACAGTAACTTCGGTTGTTTTTTTCGTTTCATTTATTTTATAAATTATTCCAGCGTTTTTGTTATCTAGTGGCCTACGTGTTACTGTATATCATACGAACGCTTAGTTTTAACTGTGCATGGGTTTTTGAATACGCACTAAGTGGCGTCTGTAGAAGCTTATGTCTTGGTTGATCAATCTACCAGAAAACTTCGTACATCCGCTCGAAATTT